ACCGTAAAGACATTTTATTTTAGCATTGGGCCACAAAATGACCAGTTAAGTTTTTTCAGGCTGAATGTGTTTTGTTTAGGAGGTGGCAAGTTAAGAGGAAAGGGGAGAATTAAAATATTTGCAAGATGTCATTAATCTCCAGCGAGAACCTAGAATTGTTGTTTTTTTCCCCCTTCATTTCAGATCTAATCCAGCTTTCTGTTATTTGGCTCAGAAAAGTCTTAAATCTGTAACAAGAGAGTTACTTCCTGTTCTCAAGAGTAAGGCTGCCAAAGAAAACATTTACAAGAAAAGTCTCAGGGCCAAAAAATTGCCTACTAATTATTTCTCAACCCCCCTCCCACTCCTGATTCGGGAAGGTGAATGCTGTAAATGCTATATGTTAAAACTCAAAAGTATGTATTGAAAAATTAAGAGAAAACCCCCAAGAACTGTTTGTCATTTATTTATATTTTATTGCATTCAAATTACATCAGTTTTATGGCCCTTGGGCACACATTAACGTTTCTTATAATATTTTGTTTGAATTCCACAAAGACTATACTATACCTTTATCAAAATACATTATGGAAGTTTCTACCTGGTACCTTCCCAACTGAAGAAGAGAAAAGCAGCCCCTGACATTTGGGAGCTGGCCTAGTACTGTCAGCTAGGCCACGGCGTAGCTACAAGCTGGCCTGACACTCACAGCAAGGTCTCGGTGTCCTCTTTCGTGACCCATCTATTCAGTGCCCTCCTAATGAAAATCCCAGCAGCCCTTCTGTAGAAACTGACAGACTGTAAAATTCATATGGAAACGCAAAGGACCTAAAATAGCCAAAACAACTTGGAAGAAGAAGAGCAAAGTTGGAGAGACTCCCTGCTTCAAGGTTTATGGTAAAGTTACAGTAAGTAACCAAGACAGTGAGTTACCAGTGTCGAGATAGGCAACTGGATCAACATAACAAAATAGAGAGTATGGAAATAGAGCTAGGCCTACGTGGCCAATTGATTTTCATCAGTAGTACAAGGACAATTCCTTGTACCATTGTACCTTATAATAATGGGCGAACCATGTCATATCACCCAACTCCACGTGGAAAATGGGTAGACTTTTCAACAAATAGTGCTAAAACAATTGGATATCCATATGTGAATAAACTACTTTGATTTGTACTTCTCACCATGTATTAGTAATCTAATCCTGCCTAACAAATTACATCTTCCTCTGGTCTCTTGGCCTCTGGTCTTTCTTTCCAGAAACACATCCCCAAATCTCCCTTTTGGCCTTTTCCTTCCCTGACAAAGTCAGATGAGGTATTCTCAAATTTGCATATCAGGAAAGAAGACTATAGTTTATTTAATCTCCTGTTTATCTAGCCGCTGGTCACGTGTATATATGCATTCATGCATGCATGTACGTATGTATGTGTGAATTATTTTGCCCTACGTTTCTTCTGCACGATCCAGGTCTCTAAAATGTGTCCAATAAGGGAAAATTCTTGGCTTTGCAAATATTCATGGTACAACACTTCCTTCTTGGTAATTACTATTACCGAGAAGGTATCAATTATTGGCATGTCTCCGGTGCAGTGCTGGGAAATTTTTCCATGCTATCTCATCTGATCTACACAGCAAGCCTATGTGGGGGATGCAATTCCATTTGCTTCCAAGGCAAAGTCTTACTGGGGCACTGAACCTCAGAGAGTTGGCACGACTGGACCAAGAGGGTATTATGATTCAGTGGCAGACCTGGGACTGACTCCAGGCTTCCCACCTGTCTTTTGGAGTGAGACAAGCCTGACTCCAGGTTTCCCACCTGTCTTTTGGAATGAGACAGGCCTTTGACTTTGAGCTTCATCTCTTTGAATTTCAATGGCCTCATGCACAAAATGGGAGTGATAACATCTTCCACACAGAACTGTTGTGAAGATTCAACGTATGTATGGTACGTCTATCTCAATAATCTTAGTCTCCTTTACTTCCTCCAGCCAAGGCTCTTTCTGGAATACTTTTCATCTGTGTTTTCCTTCATGCTCAAGGAGGTTTGGAATGGTCCTCTCTAAATTATGTTATAAGGACTGCCCCCAAGGCACTTTCATCACTAGAGAGACAGAAAATGGATGTGATGATCAGTCATTAGATATGTGAGTAGAAAAGGAGGGGCTGAAAATAAGTACCCCGAGGATATAGAGATGGCCAAAACCAGGAAGAGCGAGATTCACTGGGAAAGGTTTTGGAGAGGAAAGGGGTCTCGAGGTGCACCTCTTTGTCTCCCTTGGACCTGGCATGCAGCACCTGGCATGTAGCACCTGGCATGTGCTGGTTGAAAGGAACTGGGCCTCTCAGTCTGAATGGCAAGCAATTCACCATGGTCTGATGGAGCCTGAGCCAGGACAGGAAGGAACCTGTCCTTACTGTCACATCTTCCATCCCACCCCTTGCCCTGGGGACCACCCTAGAGTTCCTAGAGCAGGTGGGTGGCATTTGCTGGGGAGAAAATGGGTGCCCAGAGTACACTTACAGATTAGCTCAGGGGCCAGCCTTGGTTAGTGCACCTTCTAATGGGGGGACCATGTCATGTCACCCAACTCCAAGTACTTCCCAAATGTTGTTCCTCTCTCCGTGGCTAGCTCTGAAATCAGCCTCTGGGTCATGTCCCACTCAGATTCAAACCCCATCTCAGGCATGTGGCATGTTTTTTTCTCTCTCTGTAGCTAGCGCTTGCTGCTGGCTAAGCAGCAGGCCCTCTCTGATTCCGGGACCTGGGGGACACCAGCTTCTTCCAAGCCCAGTCCTGTTTCCTGTCAGCTGCCCAGGCACTCTCTGGGCCCTCGGGAAACCTACAGGCCTGCAGCTCACACCTGCAGTCGCTGAGCTCAGGTATCCAAAGGCAATATCCTGAAGGAACTCTTTTCACTGCCTGTTTCGGGGACAGGTCTGCCTCAAGCAAGCAACTTTAGACTCTCCTTCATTTCCCATTCCCAGTGTTGGCAAAGCGGCCGGGAAACCACATTCTCATCCTGTTGGGGAGAGTTTCAATGGATTCAAATTTCCACAGGCCACATTGGACCATGTGCACCCAAAGACTTAAACGTTCATAACTTTTGACCCAGCAATTCCTTTTCTAGGAATTTATCTTGAGAACATAATTAGACAAGTATATGAAGATGCATGTACAACATGGTTCATCAGAGGATTGCTTAAAAAGGAGTAAAGACAATCTCCAAAATCCCAACAATAGGGAACAGGTCAAGTAAAACCTAGTACATCAATAAAATGGAATCCAATTAAATTTAAGAAACAATGGTTTAGATATATGTAAAGAATTATCATAATAAGTGAAAAGTGGTTACAAAAGTATGTAATAATGGATAGCATTTATTACGTGCTTACTATATGCCAAACACTATTCTAATAACTTCATGGATATTAATTTGTTTATTCTGCACTCCAACCCCTGTTAGGAAAGAAATGTCACTGTCCTCAATTTACAGGAGCTTGAAGAGTTTCCGTGACTCGCCCAAGACACACACCAGTGACTGAACTCATCAGACTACAGATTCCACCTTCCTAAACACCATGGTTCTGCTTCTCAGAATAAGATCATATTTGTTTTAAAAACAAAATAAATGGGGTGTGTGTGTGTGTGTGCGTGTGTACGTGTGTGTATGTAAGAAAGTTTGGAAAGACTGGAATGAAAATATCAATTGAAAAATTATTATACGGCGTTATTTTTATTTAAAATAACTATATATACACTGCTGTTTTTCATTTCAATAGAATAACTTTACTATGTAATATTAGAACTCATTCTCCCAGTTCTACACGTTACCATGCTCACAAGGAGTTGAAGAATGTAACTCTTTCAGATGGTGAGTTGGGGGTCACTAGAGTTAATTTTGACAAAAATCAAGAAAAATCATCTCTATTTCTTTCAGTTTCAGTTGGTATTACTTAGGAGCTGTCTTTGTCCTTCTGTGATGTTGAAGATATAGTTTAAAATACAAAGGGTTCAGAAAGAGACCACCATTAATGCTGCAGAACGATGCCTGGCATTCTTTGACTATACAATTATTTGCTAATTTTTCCCTTTTTCTTTCTTTCTTTTTTGTTTGTTTGTTTGTTCGTTTTGCTTGTTTTAAGAAAAAGAGATAGGAGGGAATGTGGTGGTGCTTGCAGAGCACTTTTGAAAAATGACATGATTTATACCACAGCATTTCTTTTAGAAACGGCTTCCAGACCAGCTTTTCCAGGGGCCCAGGGGCTCCTGGGACCCTCTGCTATTCTCAGTCCAGATTCCCTCTCTTGGTTCCAGGGAGAGCCTTTTCCCAAAATCCTTTTTCAGGATTTGCTCAGGGCATGGTTTCCCACCACTAGAACACCTCCATGAGCAAGGAGAACCAGGAGGCAATAGTGCTTTAAGACAAACCTGCAGAATGACAGCGATCACATATTTCTCTGTTCTCAGAACCCGCCAGTGCCTCTGCGAATACCTCATTTGGCACTCACATCAGCCTACTAGGTGGGTGTGATTACCCCAAGTTTTTAGAAGATGAAATCGATATTCAGAGAGCTTTGATGGCTTGCCCAAGGTCCCACAATCATAATTTAAATACGAATTTAACTTCAAAATACACATTTTCCTCTTTACACTATCCTGACTCACAGAGATTTATCCAACTGAGTTGCTTTGCTGTCTTGGGCATTTTTTTTTTTTTAAGTGTGAAAGTAAGGGCATAGGAGGTTTGGGCAAAGGGAGGGTGATTTTTTAAAGTAAAAATTATTTTTGTATTTTATAATCATGAAAATATCTTACTCTTTTCAGAAAGACGGTTAACTAGTTAAATTTCAGAATTTAAAAATACATACATACACACAATCTAATAGTTTGTAAATGCTTCTATGGACTGTACTGATTGAAAGCTCACTGTGTCCTAGCTTTGACTCTCACTCCTGAGTCTGATTCTGCTCTCTCTACCCCTTGTATGTGGTCATGGCTGAAACACAGAGACGACATCAGTAGAACAAAATATATGGCATTTATTAAACATAAGTGACATAGGTTATTATATCAAAGTAGAACATGCATGAACAAATTACTCATTCATTTAACAAATACACCAATCAATACTACAAACATGAAATGATTAAATTTCCATGACATAAAACATTCTTTTTCAGTTAATGTGAGAAAGAAAGAAAAAAAATCACAGGTCAAATAAATACAGTGATTTCAGCTGGCTCCATAAAGGCATAAGGCACAAATTAAACCGAGGGATTAGCATGTCAGAATGAAGCGTGTCTGCCCACATGAGGACCATCTCCAATGGTGGTTCCCACAACCCTATACACATCCTCGGCTCCGAGAGGAGACAGCACCTGCGTGCTGGGAATCCTTCCCTCCCAGGGTCAAGTTCCCCCAGGTGCCCCTGGTCCTGTGGACAGGCTTCTCTGTACCAGAGAAACACTGCTTCTAATACTTTTATGGGTAAACAAAGCTTTCATACAGTAACAAATGATCCTGGAGTGAATAGCATAAAATTTTAAATGAATGCCCTTTTCTCTCCCAATTGAAGTCTAGTAAAACAAAAAATAAATTGTGAGGGAATTCTGACAGGACTTCGGTGTCCACATGGAAAACTAACGATGGCCCAGTACAACAGGGCAGGCTGCCAGAGTGTCTGAAATATGACCTCGGAAACCTCCCTCCTGCCCTCCACCTCTGCCTCCGCTTTCCTTCATGTTTTAAGAAATGGATCAGAACCTCAGCAATTTCCATTCTGGTTCAACCTGTATATATGAAGAAGCAACAGTCACCATTTCCAGACTTTAAGCCACAGGGTTCCAGGGCCTTTGTCCATCTTTAAAAACTGCACATCTCTGATTGCTTAAGTCAGAGTTTTCTTCATGGTTAATTCCAGGACTCGTGCGTATGGGGCATAGTTCCTGGAAGGCATGGCGATTTCACGGGCCCGACCTGTTTGGCTGCGAAATGAGAAAAGGCAGTTTTGGAAGATGAAAACAAAATCTCCATGCTCTAGGGTAAGACAACTCTAAAAAAAAAATGGCTTTCAACACTTAAAAATAAACTGTAATAATGCAGTTGAATATTTCATTTAAATGTTGCAAAAGGGACCACTATTTTAGCAACTTTTAAAGGTTTAGCACGTGCTAGGCACCGATGATTCAGAAAAATATAAAACCTACATTGAAGGAACTCATAATTTGGTGGGAAAGATATGTACATAAATAATTTTAATACGATGTGTTGGGTACTATAAGGGACACACAGAGTTGTGCTGGATATTCTCCATTGCCGATTCAGATCTATTCCCCCCGATTCTCGACCTCACTCTACGCCCTGGGAGGCTGACCTGAAGGTCAGCATCATTAGGCCCCCTCACCCTTTAGCTTCCAGTTGGTTTTGACCAACTGGGACATGGTAGCAGGGGACGAGAAAACGAAAGGACAAATCGGTCAGGACATTTGTTCCCTCCCGGCCTGGCAGCAGCCTGTAGTTGGCGATGTTCCTCTAGCAAAGGCCACAGCCACAGCCTTCCCCTCTGTCTCTTCCGCCAGCTTTCTTCCCCTACCTCTTCAGGTCCAGGCTGGTAACAGAACAGCTCCCACTGCTGCTAGAGTACACAACTGTCCCGTGTTTATAGATCTTAAAGCTGCCCAAACCTTTGTAAATACTCCCTTTATTTAAGTTTATTCCATCTTCCCTTATTGCCAGGAGGAGAAATACAACAATTAACAAGCTATTGGAAAACTGAGGGCAGAATGAGTTAGCATCACTAGGAGGGCATCTGGAAATTCGAACAGGGAAGGTGAACCTGGAAGGATGCCTAGGCATCCTCAACTAGGCAAGGAGGACATGAGAATTCCAGGCACATAGGACAATATGTGCAAAGGCAAAGAAGTGTGAACACAAGGGCTGCAGGTGTGGAAAGGAGACATGTTTCATATGACTGGAGTAAGGAGTTCAAAATGGAAAGTGGTAGAAGACAACACTGGTGAAGGATGGTCCTGTGTCCCCTGCTGAGGAGTTCAGGAGGAGACGGGGAGCCACTAAAGGCTTTTAAGGGGGCAGTGGGTGGGAGATGATATGCTCATATCTTTATTCCATAAGATATGAGCATATCTTCCACTGAGGGCTGACTGCAGAGGGGTCAGTCTGGAGGCAGAAGGTTAGTTAGGACATTTTGCTGTTTTAGGAGGTGAGAGAGAGGTTGGGAGAATGTTAATTGTAGTAGTAACAAGTAAAGTAGCAAGTAGAGGTTAGGGAGATACTTGAGAATAAGAAATAATAGGATTTAGTGGCTAAGACAGAGGCGCATCCCACTATTTTTCCCCTCCTGGACACAATGCAACTGCATTCGGCCTCCCTTGTAATTTGGTGGGCCTTGCGACTAAAAGGGCAGAAATCATTTACAGTTGACTCTTGAAAAACGTGGGTTTGAACTGCGTGTGTCCACTTATTTGCAGATTTAAAAATCCATGAAATCTGTATACAGTGGACTCTCGCAGTTCAAATCCATGTTGTTCAAGGGTCAACTGTGTTTTCAGTCAGCAGCTGAGTATCCACGTATGTGGAGGGCTGACTTGTTATACTCAGATTTTCAACTGCATGGGGGTCGGTGTCCCTAACTCCCTCATTATTCACACGGTTGACTGTAAATCACTTCAGGTTTACCTTCTACAGAATTCTCTATGCTCCCTCTCTTCCCTTTCATGTGGAGGATACAGTGAGGAGCCAAGAGGACTTTGAAGCCCAGGAAAAGTCACTAAATGAAAGATTCCTGGGTTCCCAAAGGACTGTGTGGAGAGAGGCCCATGCCAACCTGCCTTGGACTGTGGTGTGAGAAGTCAATCTTTACTGCATTAAGCACTGAGATCTCTGGGTGGTTTGTTACAGCAGCTACATTTCTTATCCCAACTAAGGCAATGATCAATTGTGTGTATGAGATATAAGACTCAGCCTCTTTCCCCTAAGTTCCCATATCCAATCATTCACTGAGTGGTATAAAATCTACCTCCTTAAATACTGTTTTGTCATCTGTCTTCTCTGTTCCCTCAGCCACTGCTTTCATTCAGGCTCTCATAATTTATCTCTGAATATTGGAATAGTATACTCAATGGCCTCTCTGACTTCAGTGTTGGCAAATTTTTCCCCCTCCCTGAATCCATTATCCATTTTGCTGTCAAGGACTTCTTCCTAAAAAGACAATCAGAGCACATTACTGTTCTTAAAACTCCAAAGTCTCCCCATTGCTCCCTGGATGAAGTTCAGACTCCTCAGCATGGTCTGAAGGCCCTGCACCACCTCCTGTTATATCTCCTGTCTGGTCCTGCTAAGTAACACTCGGTTCTCATCACTTATCACACTGCTGCACACCTCTGCTGTTCTCATGCTGTCCCCTCCACATTAAATGCTTCCCTAATCAAAGAGATCTCATGAATTCCTGCTTATATTTCAAGACTCAAACCAAATATCACCTCCTATATGACAATTTCCCTGACTCTCTGCGCCTGCGATAGAAATAATTCTTCCTTTCCTTATGTACTCACAGTTTCCTTGAGCAGTGTTGCTCAATTTCCTGCTTTCCCAAGATTCACTTTTGCTAAACTTTTCCATCAGTAACACCTCCCATCAACCTGCAGTGATTTTTCAACTAAAGAATCGTAGGAGGAGAGCTTCTTAATAGGGTCTCTTGGAAGGCTGGGGGTAATTTTAAACTTCACACGTCTCTCCCCAAGAGATTCAACATGTCCTTTCCATGCTCTCCACCACGCCCTCCCCATATATACCTTGACAATGTTACACAGGCTTCTGACGCACTAGTGGAAGCATCTCATTGTACCCACTGGTCATGCATTTGTTTCCTCTGCTGGGTATAATTTCTTGAAGAGTGAAAACTATATCTCACTCATCTTCATGACCCCAGAAGCTCACTCAGGCCAGGCACAGAGCTCTCACTCCACATACGAATGACAAAGAAAACCAGCGGATGAGAGATTTCAATAAGTGGTCAGCGTGCCACCTGCCACACAGAGGAAGCCACAAGATCTGGCAACTCAGGGTGTCCTCAGTGACCTCACCAGGCAGTTTAGTAGAATGCCAGGAGCAGAAGCCAGATGGCAATTTCTGCCAACTACTGTGAAAATTCCATATAACAGAAATGGTCTCTGGTGACAATATCCTAAAAGCCAATAAAATGCAAAAATATTTATAAAGGTAGACCTTCTGGGTTTCAAAAACAGGCTCTCATATCCCAACCAAAACAGAGGTGAGGTATTTTATTTAGTTGATCACTAAGAAACAGCAAGGTTTCAAGAACACAAATAATTTCAATCACATAATTAAAATTCAACAATTTTCTTTAACACATTAAGGCTATTGTTAACATTTTATGAATCTGTAAAGTTCCTGTGGGAAACAATAGCAGAATCAGCAACTAAAGCTTTGACAAAAGCTACTTGTGTTCTGATTTCTACAACAGAAATTTGAAAATGTACACGTTTTAAAGTGCTTACTATGTGCTAGGCACTTATGACAACAGGGAATATTTTTCATTAAATTATACCTATTAAGACATAATTTATTAGTTTGCTGGAAACCAAGTTTCACTAGGGGCAGGAGAAAGAAGTCTCTTCTTTTATTTTTTGTTTTTCACTTTTCTCTATGAACTAGGTTAGCTGACCTGAAAATGCTCTCAATGGCTTTAATTAACAAGTCAAACCTTTCAAATTAAACTCTTCAGTCTTTTATTTAAAAAATCGGTGTTCAAAAGCCCCCGAAGTCACAGAGAGTAACTTCTCACCTCTTCCCCCTCTCCTTGCTCTATTAAGAGATCCTTGCTCTCTAGAAATTTGTGTAACACAGAGATTAGATGGAGGAGGGGAAGAATTTAAGGAGGCAGAGACATGGGACTGATTCGATTAGACATAGATAACACCAGTCTCAAGCAGGCTGGTGGCGGTGGGAATGGAAAGGTATGAAGCAAGCCATGAAGAAAAAAGAGAGCACTGTTGAGTGTATGCATCTAGGAACAAACTAAACATTCATGGCTCAAAGATGACTGCAGTATATTAAGCTTAGGTAACTGGGAAAGCGGTAGCAGCAAAACAAGAATACGAAAATGTGGCCATTGCCCGGGCGACGTTATACCTGTACCTCAATCACCTCGGCAAGCTTCTGAGGGAATTACTACCAAAATCTTGCTGTTCTATGTAAGGAAACTGAGATGCAAAGAAGTTAGAAATTTGCCCAGCGCTACAGATGTAGTAGCAAGAGGCAGATCCAAGACCCAAGCTCAGATCTAACTTCCAGTTAGTGTTCTTGACCATTACTAAGAGAAAAAGACTTTGGTGAAGAAAAAAAATGACTCACTCAGCTATAGATAGGGTGGGTATGAAGATCGAACAAGACACCAGCTGGGAGCGCACAGCAAGCAACCAGAAATGAGGACTTATATGCAAGAGAGAGGTTGAACAACAGGATGGCTCAGCCACAGGGAGGCAAGAAGTGAAGCCACAAGATAGGATACCATATTTGCAGAACTATTGTAACCAAGATAGAACCATGAGGAATTCCCAAGGTGAAATCTTAGAAGAAAAAAGGAGCCATCAAAGGAGATGGAGGACAGGCCAGGGAAGTTAAGAGAGAATCAGGAGAGGAAAGTCCCACAAGGGTAAGAAGCAGACATTCTTCTGCATAGGAAGAACTGTCAAATGCTACAGAAGGATGACTCCAGTCAACGAAGTGTGAGGCACTATTCTAAGTAAGTCCCAGGGAGACTGCAATTAGTGAAATGGATGAAAATCTCTGCCCACGTGGAGCTTACATTCTTGTGGGGGGAGAGAGAGAATAAACACAGAGAAATAAAACATTAAGCAAAAAGTGCTGCTTCCTAGTCCTTATTAAATAAATAAATCGTATTATAAAACAGATCAGCCGTCTAAGTCCCCACTTGGTATATACCTTTCGTTCATTCCGCTGACAACTGTTTATTGAGCATCAAGTAAATGATAGACCAGGGGATGGCAGCCTAGGGTCCTGTTCACAGGCAGAAACAGGGGAAAGGGGGTAGGGGAGATAATAAAAGGGACTTGATGGTGCTATAAGTAAAGCAAAGGCTGATTTCAATTTTTTTCAGCAGTACATAAAAATAGAGCGGCTCTAATAGTCAAATACTAGTAGCCATAACACAATGTTTTATAACTCTTGCAGGTAGGTATAAGGAGAAACGAGTGAGAGGTGCCAGGCTACCCTACAATGAGGCATTGTGCCTGGTGCCTGGAACATGCTAGGACCACTCTAATGTCTCAGCTGCCAGAGACCTCATCAGCCACTGAGGCTTCCTGTGTTTTACGCAGTATCTAAGAGGGTTTCAAACCACTGGTAGTTTAATTGAAGAGCTCAATGCATATGAAAGCCCTCTACATTTAATTAATCTATTAAGACATTTAATAAAATCACTAAAAACCACCAATAAAAATTAAGTTAATGAAACTGTCTTAGCACATTCAGATTCGTTTATATTCGATACAGTGTCTTATACATAAAATCAGTTTTTACTTAGTTAATAGTAATAATCGCTATTATTTATTAAGGACTTAACTTCAGTCTAGTTACTATGCTAAATACTTTATTTTCATGTGATCCTCATAGCAATCCTATGAGATTTGATACTGCCATCTTCATTCCCATTTTAAGGCTGAAATGACTGAGGCTTAAGAGAGATTAAGTAGCTTGCCCGAGTCTGTGCTCAACTGACAGCCGCTGGGCAGGGAACCCCAGTAGCCTGAGGTTCTCCAATTGGGCTACACAGCTGAGCTCTTTGTGGGAGAAGAACAGGGAGTATGAACAAAATTCTGCATCATTCAGGCTTAATTCAATACTTTCATTGATTTAAAACATTTTGGAGGAGGCCGTTGTAAAAATATTCTGGAAAACACCATGGAATCTTTTATTGGTTAGATGCAAGTTTAAAGTCCAGGTAAGATCCAAGAATTTTGTTAGAACATACACGATTTAGCATCTCTCTATGTACTGAGTATTTTCAAGCCACAAATATACCACACCAGGACTCAGAAGGCCTGCTTCTACTCCTGGCTGTGTGGCTTTCAGTCAATCACTTTCTCTCTCTGGGCCTCAATTTTGGTATTTCTAAAACATGGCAATTAAACTAAACCAGGGGGTTCCAATCTGTTTTGACCATAGAACTCTTTATTCAAACAAAATCTTACTTGGAATCCAACATATAAAACACATTAAAAGCTGAGTTTTTCTCAGATTCTTTTCATTGGTCGGGGGGATTCCCACAGGCCCGCTCCATGCTAACCTCCTTGTCCCCAGAGCCCTAGCACAGAGCACGGCAGTTCCGAGCAGCACAGGTGAAAAAGGACTGCCCCAAATTATCTCTAAAGATCCTGTGCTCCTCACCACAGGACTTGTATGGTGCCTGTCACATAGTAGGCACTTAATAAATATTTGTGAGGAAACGAATGAAATATTATTCTGCCTTTTCGGAAATACGGATACGTAGTTTTCATTTCCTCTGCTGATTGACCCAGGTAGTTAAAGTGCTAAGATGGATCCTGGGGGAAACCAAACGTTACAATTATGGAAAAGCTGCTTTTAGATACTGAAGTGGCTTCCAAGTTCACCGTGGCCATAAGTTAAGGGTCTGTCAGCACTTCCATTATGAAAACCGCTTTGTGGTTTCATAACTGTACCATAAAAGTTTGCTTTGGGCTATCCTTTGGCATACAAATTGAAAACGTTGTTTTAAGCCAAAATGTGGGAATTAGAAAACAAACAATTTATTGGTTTCAGACATAGTTTTGTACCCGTCCTAGCCAAACAAGATTTATTATGTGGGCAATTAGAGTGGACTAAGCCACTCGGTTCTTGAAAATCAAAAAAGGAGGGAAATAGCCAAACTATTTATATTTCAAAAGGAGTCCCTGGGCATGATCAATCATTTCTTTTGGCTATATTTTTATTATGTACTTTGTACTCCACATGGATGAGACCTGGAATCTACTTACATATTCTTTCCCCCCTTTTCTCTCTTTCTTTTTAAAAACATTTTCTATTCATCACACCAGAATGATGAAATTGCCTTGTTTTTACCAGAAAGCAAGCAATGTAAATGAGAACAATGTGACTTTGTAACTTTGGTTACCTAAATCACAAGCCACATGTCATCAGCATCCTTCTTACAAATTTGTTTTATGCCCTCTTTGGGCCAAGCATGGTTTTGAGCACCTAGAGATGGTGGGTTAGTTACTGGTTCACAGGCTCTAATCTTACGAGGCATGGGTGTGTGGAGTGAGGCATGGGTGTGTGGAGCAGTCCTAGCTCAGAAATGCAGCTGAACTAAGTAGGCTGTAGTCATCACATATCTGCTCATGACTGACGCAGATCATTTATGTATGTATCTGATCCAGCTCTTGACAATATCTGTTATGGTGCTGGGGAATAGATGAATTTTGTTCAAGATTTAGACTCTACCTCTTCTAGATTACTAAAGCACCTCGCAGGTCTCTCTCACACTGTTGTAAAATACTGCCAAATATCTGTCTCTCCTTCCAGACTGCACTCTGGGACAGGAACAAAATCTCATTCTTCTCCATATCATAACTGTGTAGCACAGAGAAGGTACTCAACAGATGTTTGCTGAATGAATGAATGAATGAGCAAATGAATGAATGAAGGAACAAATACATGCACTCACCGATAGGGCCAATCTCTCTCTGAAGTGGCTTCCCCAGACCTCTCGTTCGCTATCCCCCCGAATAATGGCCCTGCTCTCACAGAAACTGGTCAGACACTTCAGCAGCCACCACTTATCTTTGCAAAAATATTTTTGATAGAAAGAATGTAATGCTGGTAATAACAGCCCAGTAAAGTATTTTCTTATGTCAAAGAAGAATTTAAGTCAGAAAAACAGGAAATTCCCAAATACCTGGGTAGAAGATCACAGCCCACTCCAATCTCTCTGGTTTCTACTTCAGTCTTGGGTTGAGTTTCTGTTAAATAGTCTAACTTGCTTTGTAGTTCATTATTCTAGAGATAAAGAAAAAAGTACTTTTAGTAAATATGTTCCCCCACAAATATGAATAATATAATTTATACATATTATTAGATTTTCCCCCATGACATGGACATCTATCATAATGTATTTACTGAGCACCTCTTACACAGTAGGAATTGAAGAAATATATTGATTGAGTCCTTACAGATAGCGTTCTGTGCATGTACATACATATGTATCCAATTTTACATAAATGGAAACAAACAAAATATCCTAATCTATACATAAATCTGTTTTTCACTTAACAATTTGTTGTGAATACCTTTCCACATTTACTAGTTTTCTTTTTATGTCAACAAACTATTTTAATGGGTTCATAGCATTCCACTGTATAGATGTACATTATTTATTTAACTAGTCTCTTATTGATGGGCATTTAGATATTTAATACTTTTTTGCAATTATAAATAAGGTACAGCTCAACTTTTAATATTCCCTTATTAAACTATAAAATGAGTAAGTCTATTAATTTAATTTAGTGGAAAATACCTCTATAACTTAATAATTAGTATTTCATAGGTGTGGAAAATTCAGAATCTCAAACATATAAACTAGAACAAGCTCCTTGGGATTAAAATTAGCATTCTAAATAGTTTTTTTTTTCCAGGCCAGAGCCAAACATTACGTAGGTTGATGATTAGATGCTCAGGAATTTGCCCCATGGGAGAAATGAAGGACAAAGGAGCAAAAATGTTGAGGATATTGGAATGAAAACAGATGAAGTGATGGTGCCTGAAATTTAAGGGCAAAAACATATACAACAAAAATCATAAAGAGGTTAACAATGGTTATCTCTGTATATTGAGATTTTTAGATATTTTTTAAAGTTCTTCTACATATTTTTCTGTAATGCCAGACTAAATTTTCATAAGGCAATGACGATATCTGTCTTCCTGGCTATACTCTCAGAGCACGGCATGTAGGAGATGCAAGATAAATATTTATTAAATAAATAAATGTATAAATATTCTACAGTGACCATATTATTTGCAAAACTAGAAAAAGATTAAAGCATTTGTCTTTTCTTCTTTTTAAGTTGGAGCTGAAGCTGAGGCACTAAGCTAAGACATTATATAGCATATGAAGGTTAAAAAGTTCTATGGAAACAGAGGCTTATTTGTTTGAAAGAAAGAATGTGGGTTACAGCTCAGTAGCTCTTACTCTGAATGGGTGATACCAGGAGCAAAGCAGCAGCTCTAGTACAAACTTGTGCTCTGCAGGACGTAAAGGACTATGGGTTCTTTCTAATAAATAGGAAATGGTATAAAGGAAGAGAATGCATTCCAGATTCCCCAGCAGCTGACAAGCCATGAAGATCTATAGACTCTGAATCTATCACCTGATGCTCAGTATGGGAGAAAGGTGCTGGCTCACTGCCAGAGGTACATCAACATTCTTCTCTCTCTCTTTCTCTCTCTCTCTCTCTCTCGGGTACATCAACATTCTTCTCTCTCTCTCTCTCTCTCTCTCTCTCTCTCTCTCTCTCGCACACGCACACGCACACGCACACGCACACGCACACGCACACGCACACACTTTCCCTGGTAATATCTGGGCTCCTCCATTCATAAGGAAAGAGAAAGGCAGAAGAGGCCTGCCATTTACGAATTCCAGCAATCCCATCTTTGTGCAGATTTTAATCACTAGGATTTCACAGAATGCTGGGGCTAGTATCTATGGTTAAGGGGCATAAAAGACAAGGTTAGCAAATATGACCCAAATGGAATACGGTGAATAGTGGACAGGTAGCCCCAAATCCTTTGTTCTATTTCTTAGGAACTCAATATATGCACATAAGGTACTCACTGAAGTACTGAACCTAAAAATTTATACCAATATAATGCAATCAGTAAAAAAAAAATAGTATCTACTATGTATCAGATAGTACATAAAAGTAGGTAAGGGATGGTAGTTAGGAGTTAAAAGAAATAGGGCATGATTTGCAACCCTTGAGAAGCTCTGTCTCATAGGGATACAGACAACTAAGCAGAAAATAACAGAACAAAGTGATAAGTCCATGTCAGAGGGATCCACAGAAAATTAAACGGAATTCAGAAGCGATGTCTAACTCGAGTTAAGAAGAACTGAATTCTAAGTGAAGATTTCCTGAAGTTAGGCAATGGAAACAAAGTAAAAGAAACAATGGAGATGAGAATTCCAGAATTGTGGAAAGATACCAGGTTAAGAAAGTCACCTTACTGCAGGATACAGGTGTACAGGAATTAGTTATGAAGGGCTATGTATGCCATTACAAATGCCTTACATAAGACCAAGGTCAACACTGCATTTTACTTCCATCATTTGGGCTCCCATGTAAAAATTGTATTGAAAGAAAATAGAACTACAGGTAAGAAGATCAGTCAAAGAGGTCATTAAAATTTTCCAGTTAAGAGTGAGAGCTGCACTTCTAGTATAGAGGAATAAGAGCTTAACAAACGAATCCTCTTGCAAAGAATAACTATAAACTCTGAACAAAGACAAAAACACTACCAAGGTCTCTAAAGATTTTACAAGGACAGGCAAGTTTTAGAGGGGAGGTAAAACCTGGGGCAAGTGACAAGCATAGAATGGCTTCACTGTGATTCATTCATTTGTTTCTTCTTGCAGCTTTGCCTGAGAGCAGTACAATCATGGCAGCACAGATATAGTAAAAATTCAATAGAAAGATCATCTTTCTATTAGAATACACCAGGAGAAAGAGTACAAGATAATCAGGGCTACCAAGAGTAAGGAGGAGCCAAAAGGAAAAGCTAGAAGCCCTAAATTCTGCATATAGACTCAGCTCATCTCTGGCAGACCCCTGCACCATGCATGTGTGGGGCAAAATGAAAGAAGTTTTCAGCCAAGGCTCAAAGAACGGAACTGAGATCTGAGTCATCATCCACTACGAGCATAGGAGAGCATAGTTGGGTCTAACCAAATTCATTACTTTCTAAAACAAAACCTCATGCTCCTCAGAACAATAAAACAGAATCCCAAGTCTCTACAACAAAACATTTACAATGTCCAGACTGCAATCCAAAATTACTTGACACAGAAGAGTTAGGAAACTGTGACCCATTCCCAAGGGAAAAGAGAATCAATAGATGCCAATCCTGAGATGACTCAGATGTTGTAATTTTCAGACAAGGATTTTAAGGCAGTCATTATAACTATGCTCAATGAGGTAAAAAAAAAAAAAAAAAAAAAATTACATGTAATTGATGAAGTAGTTTTTTTAAATCATCAGAAATAGAAAATATAAAAAAGAATCAATGGAAATATTAGAATAGAAAAAATACAATGCCTGAAATTATTTTTAAAAATTGCTAGGTTGATTTTAGAATGGAGATGACAAAGAAAGTCAGTAAACTTTAAGATACATTAATAGAAATCATTTAATCAAAATAAGATAAAGAAAAGGTTGAAAATAATAAATGGAACTTCATAGACCTGAGGGACAATTTCTAAAAGTCTAACATAGGGATACTGGAATCACAGAAGAAGAGAGAGAAACTAAAACAGAAAAAATACTTAAAGAAATACTAGCTGAAAATAACCCAAATTTTGGTAAAAGATATAAACTTACAAATTCAAGAAGTTTAGTAAATCCCAAAGAGGATAAATTCAAAGAGATACACACCTTGTATAGGTGAACAATCATTTGAATTACCACAGATGTCTCATCAAAACCCATGGAAGCCAGAAGACAGTGAGTACTAAGAGAAATTATCAACTTAGAGCTGTATATGTTTCAGTAATAATGGTGAAATAAAGACCTTACTTTAAAATAAGAGAAACTAAGTGGATTTGTCACCATCTGACCTGCCCTACATGAAATGTTAAATAAAAGTTCTCCAGTTGGAAGAGAGATGATTTCAGAGAGAAACTCAAATTTGGGGGAATGCACAAAGAGTATCAAAAATAGGTAATATATGAGTAAATATAAAAGATTATGTTGTCTTTTTTTTCCCCCCAAAGAAAACCATGTTTCATATTTGGCATATTTCCTCTTGAGTTTTTATTATTCCCCATTCTCTTATGTATAATTGGATTATACTACAAACACTTTTGTGCTTTGTTCTTTTCATTTATAAGCATTTCCTACTGTTAACATTTTAATAGCTGCTTATATGTTCTCTTAATTTATTTAAAATACACATGATTTTTAAAGCAAAAATTCTAACAAGGTATTGCGGGTTTATAATGTATGTAGATACAATATATATGATAACCATAACAGCAAGGAGAGGGATAAGCGAATCTACATCATTACAAGATTTCTACATTTTACATGAAGTGATACAATATTACTTCCAAGTAGACTGTGAAAAGTTAATAATGTCTATTGTAATACCATGAGCAACCACTATTAAAGACCCACGGCAAATGTCAATTGATAAATTAAAATGGAATTCTAAAAAAAATACTGAAATAATCCAAAGGAAAGGAGGACCAAAATAAATAAGCAAAACAAACAAAACAGATCAGAGGGAATAAATAGATAATAATAAAATAGTAGACCTAAATCCAACCATATCAATAATAATTAAATGTCAATAATCTATATGATCCAAATAAAAGACAAAGACTATCAGAATGTATAAAAAAAAGGAAGACCCAACTATATATTGTTTATAAAAGATGCACTTTAAACACAGAGGCATGGATCAGTTGAAATAAGTGGACGGAAAACACATAACATATAAACAGCAAAAATAAAAGGGCAGAAATCAATATTAATATTAGTATTAATATCAGATAAAATAGACTTCGAGACAGAGTATGAATAAAGGTAGTGATCAAATTTCATAGTAATGAATAGGTCAATTCATCACTAAAATATAACAATCAAAAATGTGTACGTACCTAATAACAGAGCTTCAAATTATATGACATCAAAAACAACAAAATTAAAGAAAGAAATATATGGTCTGAAACCAAAATAAGGGATTTAGTACTCATCTTGTTGCAATTGATAGAACAATTATAC